CCCCTAGTATGGGCAGGGACACCGCAACAGCGTGAGCCAATTACTGCGGACCCTGTACTCTCACACTCACTACCTCTACATTAAGTATTTTAGCACACAACACTCCTCACATGTTGATTTTTGCTGAGGGAGGAAAACCGGAGTACCCGGAGAAAAACCCTCGTGGCAAGGGAGAGAACAACACATCAAACAAACTCAAACTCACATATGGTCCGTGTCCGGGAATCGAACCCGGACCACAGCGGTGAGAGGCCAGTAGCTTAACCACTAGACCACCCATGCCACCAGCACTACGGCAAAAGTAAGTCCATCACAATAGTGATCAAGTGAGGATGTAGAATTTGAGGACATTCAGATCTCTTATTATGCCATCATTGCGCAATGACTGCACGAAGTGTGTGAAGGTCGTTTATCCCTCGTATTTTCTTCTTGTATCTGTTTTATGCTTGTTGGGGTGTGCCGCTAGGACATCAAAACCCTGATCCTGTTCCAGAGTGAAATCGCTGAAAACTATACCCTGTTCCAGAGTAAAATCGCTGAAAACGATATCCTGTTCGAGAGAAAATCCAGGACTAGCCTGCGTGTAGAACGAATTTTTACCCCGTGAATTTTTATCCAGCATCAATAATTCCGGAATCAAACCCTGACCCCGTTCCAGAGAAAATTCGTTGAAATCGATAGCCTGTTCCATAGTAAAATCGCTAAAAACGATACCCAGTTCCAGAGTAAAATCACTGAAAACTATACCTTGGTTGGCGGCACGTCCCGTGGGATCTTGAATTCAAGCCTAAGCATGTATCGGCAACCAGTGCAGATCGTGAAGGACTGGAGTAATGTGGTCTCTTTTTTTGGCACCTGTAATCATCTTGCAGCAGTTTTCTGTATTCTCTGAAGTTTTGAAAGTTCAGAAAATGGTAATCCAAACAGTATAGGCTGTTGCAATAATTGAGGTGTGAAAGAACCAATGCATTGACAAGACGCTTCAGAGAGTCCATTGATAAGTATTTCTTAATGCTACCGATGGCGTTAATGAAGAAGAAAGCTTTATTAGAGATGTCTTTGATGTGATCAGCTAGARTGAAATTAGTGTCCATGTAAAYWYMAAGGTTACGGAACATTGGTTTAATGTTCACAGGAACGTTGGCAACGTAGAGTTGGTTTAGAGCTGATGGCTGTTTAACAAAACGTGACGATAGGCAAAGAACATCAGTTTTACCACGATTAGTCTGGAGCTTGTTAACAGTGTTCCAGTCAAAGATTGCTTTGATACAGGAAGAAAGGATATCMATAGATACCACCAGAGTGGAGGGATTGACAGCGATATACAATTGAGTGTCATCAGCGTAAAACATACARTCCAGGTTATAAGATTTTATCAGGTCTTGAAGAGGAGCAATATAAAGTGTGAACAATAGGGGRCCAAGTATAGATCCCTGTGGAACACCAAATTGTAAATCACGGGGTGCTGATGACGATTTCCTATTTTTCCTAATGAAGACCGGTTGACATTGTCTATAAATTGTTGTATACGATAATCATATATTACAACTGTATCCCATTCCCCATCTTACATTAAATCGCTTGCAAATAAAAGGGGGCTGGGACCATGTAAAAGTGGCACTGAATGATCGACACTAGATCTTTCAGGGTCGAGTATAAGAACATCCTGTACCTTTCCTTCAGGGTCAGTTCATAACACATGATACTTRAAACTCGTGCGATGTAATTGTCGGTTGACAATTGTACTGCAAAAATGACAGAGATTTTTAATTTATGCCATATTTGTTTTTGCCTGCTCGCAGGCGGTTTATTATGTACATATAACCATAACAGTTAAACAGTTGTACCTTCAAGGTTCTGATGTTATTTTTATATTTCTGCAGCCACCATTTACTTTCGACGAAACATCCAGCGTTTGGATTGAGCCATTTTCATTGGTTTTAAACAACATTCTTCCAGTAGAATACATATATGGCGACTGGTATCAATGGATCGCTCACAGTGAAGCAAACCTTTCAATTCTAGATGATGGCTATCAGTGTAGTCTGATAGAAACTGGAAGTCGTGTCGATGGATTCTGTATACCTAAATGTCTAGTTAGTGKCATCAATCAGGATTTGCACAGCTTATCTTTAGGTGAGATGGCCTACTGGGAGCCTGRTATTCATATTATGACGTCAAACGAGAGTTTTATTCGAATGGATGGACAGTGTATACCAATATTTACTGTTGACCATTTTAGGCAAGATCCCAGATATGTGAGGCTCGTTCTAACAAAGGAATGGAAGGAACACACTCCACAATATAAAACACAATTTTTTTTGGATCATAGTTATTTGTTTTTTTCTGTTGATAACAGACCTGTTGAAATGATGAATAAACCTGAAAATCCTAAAAGAGAATGGAGATACGGCATTTATGGGTCAGTGCACAAAGCCACGGAAAATACAGCTATTAACMTAGCTGGCAAAACAACGGCTTTTAAATATCCTAGGTTGTGGCCTGAGACAGCTATGGAGTGGGTTACRCGCAAGCGTTCAGGTCCATGGCCCTCACCTGAGCTCGTTCAAGAAGTGGTTGATTCTGGCTGCCATATTGTTCCAGTTGCAAAAAGAAAGCGGCTTAAGGACACTGTGACTGACTGTGAGCAGTCATTGCCTGTATTCACGTCCCGGGAAGATGGAGCTGAATGGAGGTTGTCCTTTTCTGTGACTGAAAACAAACTTGGACAAAGCGTCACTCCAGTCCAGCGGCACATCATGGTACTTTTGAAAATGCTGAAGAATCTATATTTTCCTGAAGTGATCTCATCTTACCATTTAAAAAATCTACTGTTCTGGGAAATAGAAAAGAATGACGGATCATTTTGGAGAGAAAMCTGCTCAGCCAAGTGCCTTATTTACATGTTGGATCGTCTYGCGCAATGCCTTGAAGAAGGGTGTCTTCCGCATTACATCATACCAAAGAGCAACCTTTTGGAGTGCGAWGAACTAGGCAAGCTTGCAGAAGCAGTCAAAGTAGTAGTTGATGTCAGGAGAAATATTGTCGAGCATTGCATTTGCTYGTTCAAAAGAATTGTAGCGATATCTTTCGAGTACCAAACATTCCAGACGAATCTCGAGTTTGAGTCTKTCATTGCGAAAATAAAAAATCGTGACCAGACGTATGAAACARTCCAACAAATTCTTTACTCSCTACTCCATCTTTTTATAAARAAGTACGAAGAATGTCTGAAGTCACTGAGAAAGATCCAAGAGGAGAAGAACATCGAAAAAGTAATGAAAATAAGAATGGCCATATACGAGTCACTCCTTGCTAGAAGTCTCACAAAACTGAGAGTCTGCGATCGAAACACGAATGATTTCCAGGCATTAGTAAGAAAGGAAATGCTCGGTCATTGCTCAGATGAATTTCTGGAAGCCTTATTCATGTTCTTTGAGCATGCTCAGAGAGGCATGGACCCCTCGCTTTTAGTGCCAAATTTTATGGAGGTGACCAAAGTCCTGCAACACAGCATGATGCAAGACAATTGGGAGAGCGGTTCTCCGCTGACAKWGATTACGTCTATTGTTCAAACGGGAGAATACTCGCAAATAGGAGACTTAMTTACTGATTTAGGAARACCAGTGAATGACATTGAATTTGAARCAAAATTGTAAAGGTAATTKTTTGTAGGAAGCTTTCTCACGTCAGTGGTTTTCAGAAATATCATACAATATTACAGAGAGAGGGAGAGAGAAAGGGAGGGAAATATAATAACAACAAAACATTATTGGATGAGATTTTTTTGTGATATGCGAAATAATTAAGGAGAGTGTTCCAGATTTTAATAACATGGTTACAAGTTCTTTGCTTACCTCAATTTCCACTGACTTTGATATTGTAATTGAGTATATCGCTATGAAATTATAGCCAGTTGCATTTGATATATGTTGATCTTTGATATCTTTACTCCTATTCATACCTTAGTTACCACGGATATGTCTCGATTGTCGAGTGCTTACTGATTTTATGCTTTGAATAATAATCGTGAGTGATGCACTGCGTTGTCCTGTAGCAGCTCTCTCTAAGCCCTTCTAAGCTATTGTGTAGATTTACTGATTCGTTTTGAGTATACTATAGGATCTGCTAAACCGAAYACATCACTTGAAAAATATACTGATTGGTTTTAATAGAACCGGAAATATTTTTAACTCGGAGATTGCGTTATCGAAGAGTTATTGTAGGTGAAGGATCTGTCACTCACTCAGTCAGTCAGTCACTCACTTTCCTGTAAACTGCCCTTGTTGCTATAGTAACTATGAGGTTATATTTATTTTCGTCATCACGGTCTTCCTATGCATTTTTCTGTAATTAGGTATTCAAAGTAAACTCATATTCCTGTAGTCCCGCTGAATCGATTTCCCCATACATCGCCTTATATTCCAGCGCCTTCCAACCCAAACCTTACCCTAAATCTAACCTAGAGCTAACCAAGGACTTTTGTTCAGTAATTTAAATCTTTTTTTCGCAAACGGACATTTTGACTTCCACTATTTACCCGGTAGCTGGGCATGCATGTATAGACTCGATAGTTAATATCGCCTTTGTATTTACATGTAACTTAAGCTGAAGCTTTTCCTTTTATAAATTTCGATGTCTCTCTGAACTAGCAAGCTTATATTTTTATCAATAAAGCCTAACCCGCTTAACAGTGATTGGAAGAAAAGCATTGAAATAATTCTGCAAAACTGCAAATCAAGAGCATGAAAACTAATCAAAGAACAATGTGGATTTCGCAGATTTCATACTTCAACAAAGGAGCTCAAAACAAAATTATGATATACACCCTTTTAATAAGTCCCAAGGTATTGTTTTCTCCGCACTTGACGTCAAATATATTCTTTTGAAATTTTTACAATACAAAAGGAATTCAAAAGAATAAATTTGACGTCAAGTGCGGAGAACGTAATACCTCGGGACTTATTAAAAGGGTGTATACCAATTCACTTGTACTTTCGATACATGAAGTCATTAGCTACTAAACTTTTGCACTAACAACTTATCTTGTTAGTTAATACTATTTTTTTAATACAATTTAAATGTTAATTGTAATTTTTTCCCAATATTGTTCTGATCTTATTGTTCTGATTTTTTTCTGATCATCTATTACATGTTTTTGTTAATAAATAACTTGTCTAATTTGTTAATAAAATGCTCAAAATACATCTGACCATCTTGCAAAAGCAGCTGTCACAATCACTGAGTTATGTTGCCATTGGCAGCTTGATTGTTTTGAATGTTTCATGCGCATTCTGCGGCGTATAAGTGTATTTTTGGTAAAAATGGTGTATTCTAAATCTTGCCCTTGATGCTTCAAGTAATGGAGAGTGAGGTAAACAGAATACCCAATAATAATAATACAATGGCGTAGCTAACAAGGATCAATACATTCGATATTGCAAAGGAAGAATAGCAAATACGACACCATTTGAATATGATTCAAAAGTTAGAGAGGCTTTTGAAGTGAAAATGGATATTGAATTGAACATAACGTGATTGGTTAGCATGACAGATCGATGAGAAGATGATACAGRCATCAATACAATTGTGGTCTCATTTTACTTGTATCCCATGAATAATAACGCATTCATATAACTACTTTGGAAGAGTATACTTGCAACAGGAACAAATTTCCTGGAGTTTAATGTAAGAGAGTGATTGTTCAAGTCTTAWGATCTCCATGCAAGCGTCAAACTCTTTTTGCATCTCATAATCAAACGAATCACTGGGTGATGAGGTTCCAGAAGAGGRTGGCGAGGTAACCTCCATATCTGCATGTTTATGATAGTAGGAAGAACAACTGGATAGTGTTGAATCGGACGAGTTTCCAGATCCTTTACGTTGTGGAGACAAAGTTGAAGATCTACCAGGTGGTATTGGCTTTGCATCCATACATTTCCTGATCCTGTTCTGCAAGTCAAACACGCTGCAAGARCAGATGTCATCGAGCTTCATGTAGGAAAGTGACTGCTCAAGTCGTAATATTTCCATACATGCGTCAAATTCTTCACGMATGTCAARAGAGAATCCAGTTGGTGATGTCAGTTCCGACTCCAAGCCCATGCTGTAGCTCGTTTTGAAGCCACATTCTAAGTCATAATATGACTTTAACTTTGGTATTACCCAATGATGGTTATTCTTAAGATCTTTAAGCCAATCATCAATTTTGTACAWATCAATAGACGAATCCTGAGGAGGGTCACCTGAGAAAACGTCTTGGACCTGTACAGCTTTTTCGTCCGCTTCCGCTTCATCCTTGTACATTCGAAGGTAGGAGCAAATGTTTGAACATTGGTTTGTGCCATTTCCACCACCTTCGTGTGTAAATGTCAGAGATTCAATATTAGAGTTAGCACGAGATTCGYCWTGATCAATTTGACAGAAAGGCATCTCGGTTTTGTACTTCTGAATGACCTTCTTAATGTCTTTGGACAGTTGAAAATAGGAACCTGTTTCTGAACTTTCGCTGGKCGATAATGACAAAGTSTCTGATTCTCCTGACGTCATCTCATCAACTGACTCTTCATCAAGAGTGTTTAKCAAAAGTTTTACATTCTCCTTCATATCGGCTTGAGAATCGGCATCCGTGTCGTGCAACGTGACATCCGATAGCCTCAAATCCAGAAGTGAATGACCTTCAAGATTGTCGCCTGACATGTTGAGACATGAGTGCATTTGCTTTTCAAAAAAACTGCAAACAGAATCCATTTTTGTAATCCTTTCTATTGCTTTGTCGATTTCAGATTGAAGACTTGTTTGGCTTAAAGGAGATGCAATGCTRTCGCATCCTGGTTTGAATTTGATAAGCAAACTTATGTTGCKTGGATKTCTGTTAGCTGTCGAGCTGAAAATGTTAAGTTTTTCGTGTTAACTYTATTTASGTACCAAAAATGCAATTCCTCGTGGTACTTSTGTTTCATCAACCCATTCCTCTTTATTTGTTGGAATGCGTTGTTTTTACATGCATGGGTTTATTGTGTACTGATCACGTTTATTTTGACCATCATCAATTATCATYATTTTGTTCATTAATYACCTTGTTTTCCGTTCAATGGATTCATCAKTGACTTGAGATTCCTTGTAACACAGCTCTGTTGATGATGATTTGATATTCGAGATTATGCTTGACGAAGTGTTGGATGATTTTGAGGTAACCTTGTTCAAAGAACCTAAATAGAAATAGGGAAACGTTGTTCATATATTCATGTATTTTGATTTGGAATGTCTGTCAATAAGCTGGCACTATGTTATATCCGAGCCTGAGTTATCATATTTGGCCACTTCTCATAAGACTCAATGCTGACGTGCCGGCCTATAAAGCAAGCAATATATGACATGTCTGGAAATATGTTCCCGTCTTCATGTAATCTACTWAAACACTAAAAATTAAAACATATGATACAAATAGGAAATGTTGAATCACTTTGGTTCTCCTTTGGTTTTTACTTTACACTGWAATCGGATGATCATTAGAACTAGCGGAAAGCTYGCGCGATTTTGTTTTTCAACAGGAGATATTTTCCGCATGTCCAAGCTGCATGCTAGCTTTACTTGTYTTATTTGACCTACCCTGTTTAATCAGACTATCATCAGGTTCGTCATAACGGGTATTTTGTTTATCACTGGCAGACGATGTTGACGGCGTATCCTATCAAAGATTTAAATGCTTTAATAACTATGTTACTATGATACATTAATAATACTATGCCATGACTTTTTCAAAAACATTTTTAGTAACTCTTTATTATGTCCTTTATGACCATGCGTTACATGACTTACTACCACCAAGAACTAAGCTAGTCACAACAGGAACTTTAGACGGTCMCATTGTTGTAAAACTAACCGTTTTAAAAAAGTTTTATCCTGAGYCATTCTTCTCATCATTATATCTTCATATCATTTGTGTACAGCAATTTGCAGAAATTATGATCGTTTGACACATACCTCAAGCATATATTAGTATATCAGAAATTATGGGATATCGTTTCTGATATTTTTATAGAGTTGCTTAGCACTTGTACTTTCAAAAAACTAGACCCTTTAAATGTTCGCCTATACGCCCACCCAAGTAATATACTGCCTTTCTCAATTTTCAAAAATAGCTTGCCCAAGTAGACGCTCTAAGAGCGTCTGGTTTAGATGTACAGAAGTGATTTGAAATCACATTTATTAAGAGCAAAATTTGTGAAAGTAACTCCTTGTTAATTACTTTTCATGCAATATTTAGCTGCTTCGAAACTATACAAGAATTTTTGACAAATCTAGCGTAGAAACGGTAAACATCACGCAAAATCGCGCAGGAGAGCAACATCAGTGCACATAAAGATTCCCGCCATAACATACGACGCGTTTGCACATCCGGGAAATCGATTTGCGTTTTCAAGCGTTTCGAGGCTCWCAGGAATCAGACTTTTGCTTTGATACGATTTAGACACCAAGAATAAGAGGATTTTTATATTACGCTCTGTGCATAAAATAACTGACACCTAATAAAAAAAATCAGTGCATCGACAACGGATTGCCTGCACTGGATAAAATCACCTTGTTTTGGAGTTATGATACAATGTAACATGTTTATGTACTTTCTGAATCTTCTTCGGCGTTAGCTTTGATAATTATGACTTTTTCCGACCCAACAATGTTAATCCAATTACATGTATTTAAATGATTACTTCCTTACAGTTTCAATTTAAAAGTACTCTTTTTATAAGCAAAAATATAAAAGCCATATCTTTTTATATTTTTAAACACATATATATATTTTGTTGAGCCTGATTTAAAGTTAAGCAACAGCAATTTACATAAGAACCTGTTTATTCTGACTAAATCTAGATTTTTACACGTGGGTTTTTACGTACTTACCAGCCAGCTCAAACTGGATTCATATTCCTTTTTTTTCTACCAATAAAGAAAATGGAATAAAGACATCATAACTAAATAAGCAATAGCGTCTTTTGACATGTAAACTGCTTGTTTTAAAATCTATATGAAACAAAAATACTGCATGCATTGAAGTTTTGTATGAAAAAGCCAATGGCCACTCCTTGGCCGAGTAGAGCAGTTTTRTCGAGAGTGGCTAGCTMTTCTCACCTCATAGTCTCTGGATTGAACGTATTGAGTCTTGCCACAGCAAATACCCATTWAATGGCGGTCTAAAGACTTCTCACAAAACGCCGCTACATTTCATCAAAAACGTCCGCCATTTTKCCTGAATTACAAGTATGACGTCATTTGAGACATCAATTAGTCACACTATTTGCTTGCGCGTGACATGATGACGTCCTGAAACTATCTAAGTCACACAACTACATGTACGTTTGCCATAATTATAGCATCCTCATAGATTCTTAGGTACGAACCTTTAACGCAAACCCTTTAAGAACCCTTAAAGCTTCTTCGAGCACTAGTTTCAGTGGAAATTATCCTTGAGCAGCATAGTAGAATGATAGAGAAAAGGACGAATGTAGCCAAAGCTGCTGAKAGTAGATCTTGTTTACTAAAATGACTCCGAGCTTTCGCTGTTTACAGCATCATCAGGAAATGATCGTCAATGAGCGAGATAAAATACATAGAATTATAAGAGATGAGCGGTCAAGCGTCAAAGAACATCTCACATCCACCAAATCATCAGTCTTATCTCATGAAAACAATTGCTCGGAAACTAAAGAAATCAAAGTAGGGATTATCGCACGTGAAAAGGACCCCCTCGCCAACGTACGCCCCTTGGAAGCCTTATATATAAAATCTTGAACGCCCACCATCAATTCACTCAATGAATGCAATGAACTACAGGGTTATTTATTTTAATTGACTAGACTTTCTTTTGTCTACCGTAGATGCCTATTGACCACCATTCATGTTTTATTTTGACCACTCCTCTCTTATAATTCTATGTATTTTCTCGCTCATTCCCTGATGATGCTGTACACAGCGAAAGCTCGGAGTCATTTTAGTCAACAAAATCTACTCTCAGCAGCTACGGCTACATTCGTCCTTTTCAGTAGTTTCAATCTTGTCAGGAAAGAAGAAATATTCAAATAGAAGTTGTTCTCGATCTAGACTGAAATTTACTTTGAAAGACATTAGACAGTGGCGGCCAAAACAGCCGTGACACATCCATTTATTGTTTCGACAAGGAATAACATCATCACTGCTGGAAAGGAAGAGCGGCCACTGGTCTCGACATGATCAAGCTGTTATACAAAAAGTGACATATGATAATACTAATGAAAGACTAATTCAAAATAGCACGGCTGACATGACAGATTTTCTTCTGTACAAGGTAATAAATATTTCAGCGACTTTCGATTCAACTGGAGTTTGAATATGTATGCATATAAGCAGTGTTATTCTCTTGTTTCCCAATCATTTAGCCAGGCCATTTTGCTATTTGCAGCATGTTCTTTTAGTTGCAAGATCCTTGATTTTCGTTTTATTGAGGAAAGGAATCATTAGAAGAGAAAAGAAAGCGCTTAAAATTATCTTCTTAAGCTTCAGTARTGTTTACTTGTCTTTAATAATGTATTTCTTTTTTGCAGTAAAGTCATATAATTCATAGTCGCGTTGAAACCCAATCGACACATCGCTTCCTTTCATCAGTTTTTTTTTCATGTAAGGCTGTTTAACTCATGACGTTTTTGCTTAACAACTACCAATTCTTGACAACTGGTGTCCTATGTTGTCATTGAAATGCAATGCGAAGTCAACAAGAATTGAATCGTTGGTATATCTGTCGAGGCGCTGATACTGACCCGYTTAAAATAAACTTTCATAACATCATTGGTTCAAAGAAAGAAAATGAAAGTTTCACTTTTGACGGTTTTAGTTTCACCAGGTGTACGTTGATTATGAATGAACTTTATTAACGCACTAAAACCACTCAATCATTTAATTCGAGTTTGTRCCCGATCTCTCGCCTTACTTATCGAAGAAGAAAYATACTYAAGGTAAGTTTGCTTTTTGTTGCATGCTTTATATATTCTATTTGATTTGCTTCCCTCACGTATGTTTTAATTTATTGTAAGCAACTCTAACTTTAAAATAAAAAATTAAATAAGAATGAATATGAGTGTGTTTTAAGAC